TCATAAGTACGGCGAAACATTAAGACTTGGCAAGGAAAACAGCCAGAACACTTGGTATGAAGGGAGGTTAAGTATTCTATACCTAATTTCCCGAACTTGCGCGGGATGGGGAGCGTAATTGATTGGGGCACGAACCATTTTCCTTTAACTATAACCATCCTTTCTTTCCACTTCTTTTCGGATGAAGGAAGGTTCGTGCATATCCTCTGATGAAGGGGAGAGGTAAAAAAGAAGCGACCAGGCTCGGTCCCATGCTTAGATATATTGTAAGTAAGCAGAAGGTCGGCAAAGGTCAAATCCAGAGCCTCTAATTTCCGGCGCACCAACAGTGCCGAAAGGATGCGAAAGAAATTAGGATTTACCTGAAGGGGGGCAAGACCTAACTTGTTGAAAACCAAATGATAGAAGGGATGAGGAGGGAACCGGAGGGCGTTAAGATGCCCTACCGAAAGAAGCAATTCACTCTCTTTAATTCCCTCGCCGGAGGTAAAATCGGCACCCTCGGGATATTCTGCAATTTCTACTCCCTCGGGAATATCAAATTCTTCCATTACCAAAGCAATAGAGAACTTGATGCCAATAGAGATGATTGCTTTCCTCTCTCCATGAGTAAGAACATTATCAGAACCTGAGGTAGATGTCTCGGCTGGAAGGGGGGAAGTACCTAATTGATTCAACGAAAGACGATCTGTAGAAACCCTAGGAGGGGGAGCCCTAATGCGAACGGGGGAAGATGAAGGTGTGGATTCAGAATCCCCAATGTCTATACGTTCGGGAGTAGATGAAGTACTCATAATGAAAGATTGAAGAGAAAGATGCGGGAAAAAAACTAACCTGACAAGGCGATGGAATGAAGAACGCAGGAGTGCAGTGAGGGCAAATGTAACTCTTGCAGAATCTTGTATGACGGAGTAATAATGAAAGACCTCGAACCGTTTCTGAAGCAAAGTAAAAAACCGGTTTCAATTCCCTCTTTAATGGGAGCCGTCACTCAATTAAAAATGAAATTTGGGGCAAAGTGTGGAGGGAAAAAAACTCCCTCCAATAAAAAGCGCACACGTCATCACTACACATGTCTACACTCCAAGGACATATAAGGCCCATCATGCTCAAGCCCAAATTGAGGGTATTTTTAGCCCAAGACCATTGTTATTTGTCCTCCAGCCTCCATCAAGACCGAATCAAGAGGTCATCGGCCCAACTGGTTAATATTTAAACATCTGGTCCGTTACTCAAGCCCAGCCGGATCAAAGTATGTTCAGCCCAGTTATTCAAGAATGCACAAGTCCTATCAGTTGAAGGATTTACCGTAGAAGGAAAATCCTGAGATAGGAAGTTCTATACAAGGCAAGTTCTATGTATGGAAAATTAGACAACGGAAAGAACTCTATTAGTAAAGAATGTTTATATAGAAAGAATTGGAGGGCAAGCAAGGCGAGTCCTACCATAATTTTACAATCTTTTATATATAAATAGAGGCTTAGACCTCCAATAAAGGGATCAAGCAATTCTACGCTTCGAGATATACAGTTCTTGTTTATTTTACTATTGATTGAGTGAGTTGTTTTATTTTTCTTAATCATTATTGGTTGAGCGAAATTTTGCACCTACACCTACTTACTTCCTATTCTTGTTTCAAATTCCAGCTTCAGTAAGGTAGAGGATTGAGGAACTTCAACAGAATTTCCTACGGAGAGGGATGAGGGGAGGGAGGAGTTCAAGTACCATGTTGTGTGCTGGGACCAAGTGTGCAGTCCAAACCAAACCGGGGGTCTGAGTATTAGAGACTCACTTCTTTCAATAAAGCCCTGTTGGGGAAGTGTTTATGGAGACCTGAGGTGGAGAGGAGAGTCATTTGCTCAAAGTTTGGAGAGGAGAAGGGTTGTTGATTTTCCTTACAGGTGAGGGGTCTGGTGGAGTTGGGATTTGGAAATTCATCCGAAAGGGTTGGAATGAGTTTTCAAAGCATATTCGCTTCAGGGTGAGGGATGGCAGGAGTATTCAAATTTGGGAGGTTCATTGGTGCCGGGATTGCTCTTTAGCATGTTCCTATTCGAGGCTCTTCAAGATTGTGTCAGACATGCATGTCATGAGATTGTCAACTGCTATCGGCTTAATAGCGGAGGGTTGACTTGGGATGTGTAGTTTTTGAGACACTTACAGGATTGGGATTGGTGAGTGCACAGGCCCTTCCCTTTCCATGGAAGGTCGTGTGGCGTACGAAGACTCCCCTGAAGGCGGATTTTTTTGCTTGGTCAGTGGTCCTGGGCCGAATTCTTACAATAGGCAACCTGAGGAGGAGAGGTCAGATCGGTGCAACATGTGCAAGAGGAACAAGGAGACAGTGAATCATTTCCTTCTTCGTTGCCCAGTGGCTCAAGATTATTAGGACTTGATTCTTGGTCTCTTTGGGATCCAGCGGTTATGCCTCTTTCGGCGATGAGTGCTCTGGCGCTTTGGAGAGGCTACCTCTTGGAGCTCAGGCCCGAGAAGCTTGGAGAGTTACACCCTTGTGTTTTTGGTGGTCATTGTGGAGGGAAAGGAATAGAAGAATTGAAGATCCTTTGAGAGGGGAGGAAACTCCTATTGGTGTGCTTAAGTTCTATATCCTTCACACTTTTTCTTTTTTTTTTGGCTTCAAGGGAAAAATTGTAAATCTTTAGGGGAGTTGGTGGATTTTGTGGATATGTTGAGAGTTTAGGGGCCCTATTTCTATTGACTTTCAGAGATAATAAAAAAAATAGTAAAGTATAAGAAGATCAAGAAGAGAAGGAAGAGGAGGAGAGAAAAGAGAGAGAGATGGGAAAAGAGATAAGGAATTCGCTCTTTTTTCTTTTCTCTAGGCTTTGGCCTTTGTATATTCTTGGGATGCATTCCCCTTTTGAACGATTTCTAATACATTTTTACTTATCAAAAAAGAAAGAGAGAGAGAGATAAAGAATGAAAGAATAATTTCATCCTTCCACCACATTCTATTTATACTAAAAAGTTTCAGAAATTATACATAAGCACCCTACATTATATAAGTTACAACAAATAAGTCCCTGACAATAATTTTGTCCTTGTGTAGCTGTCGGGATGCGCTCCCTCTTGAGCTGTCTATAATACTTGTCAAAAAAAAAAAGTTTTAATTATTGATTGTTGAATCATATGTGTACTAGGGATGCACAAAAAAATTTGGTAGAACAGGTAAAGTGGACAAAACTGCACGGTTCGGTTCGGTCCGGTTCTATTATGGTTCAGTCCGGTTCCGATTATAAGTATAGGAAGCATTAATTAACAGTTCAGTTCAGGTTTGTCGTCCATTAGGACCGAACCAAACTGTTAATAAAATAAATATATATTATAAATATATACTATATAATCTATTCTAACCCTAAATCAGTTCTCTCAAATCACAATTCTCACCTTAGAGGTTTAGCTGCCATCAACCTTTCTCTTTCTCTTTTCTCATTTCATCACCACAACCCGTTATCTCAACCCTCAGCCACCATTGACTTCCCTTAGCCAAGACCCTTGACCACCATCGATCCTCAACCAACATCTACCCTTAACTAATGAATTATTACTTAAAAAATAAAATAGAAAATAAAAAATAAAAACATCTACCCTTAACCATCATCGACCCACAGGCATTGTCTGCCTCCGCCACCTTTGAACTTTTTAGCCTATCTATTTTTTTTCCTCTCTCCCCCTCTATATACATATATATATTACACAGCACACACACGACACTCTTGTGATTTCATTTTTGTTGTCACTTTTGCACTTTTGTTGCCTTATGTTGTTGTGCCTTGGATCCACTTCGTTGCTGAGACCACACGATATATTTCTGTCCCTCGTCTTCCAATATGATTTCTATTCAAGTAATAATTGTCTTCTTGAAAGGATTACTGAATGAGATTGGTTCATTTATTTGTTGAATCAAATTACAACTTTAGTTTTTTTAAGGCATGGAAGTCTTACTCACACCCTAATGTGCTTTTTCTAGCCCGCATATGGTTCATGGATGGGCTACCTATGAGAAACCCAGAACTGTGGGATAGTTCTAAACCGATTTTATAAGATTCGGTTTGGTTCCAGAGTTCCAACAGTTCGGTTTTGGTTCCAATTTTTCTGGAACTATGAGACCAGTTCAGTCTTGGTTCATTTCAGAACCAAACTGTGTGCACCCCGTCATCTACACCTTTCTCTTGTTCTCAATAGAGGAGCAAACTTATGTCACTATTCAAATTTTGAGGCATTTAGTAAGAAAGGCCCTAGATAAAGCAAAATGGCGATGAAGGATTGTGATGGTCAAGCAGATTGAACAAGCCTGTGGAAAGCACAATTGAGCTTCCAATTTCACTGGAAAGCCACCTAATAAACTATAAAACCATAAGACCAATTTTATAGGTGTGAAAGAAGACCCAAAAGAGCATAATAAAAATACGTTGGTTTAAAAGGGTAGGTGCAAAAATTGAGTAACCAAACACAAGCATTAGCAACACCGCGAATTGCATTGAATAGCAGTAAATAGTCGTGGCCCGAGTAAATATACAAGGTTTAAAGCAATTATTGGAAGGTTCAATAAAGATGTTTTGCAACAGAAACCTACAAGCAATCAAACAAAACTTTGCCATATCTTGACCAACATTAACCAAAATATTAAGAGAAAAAAAAAAAAAAAAAAAGGGAAATTATAGGGACGTAATCAAGATGTTTTAGAAGGGAAAAAAATTTCTTTAACATTAAAGAAATTGCACATACAATATCTATCCAACCTTTTTTTTATCCTTTCTGCATACATATTTTCACATGCAATACTTTGTAGCTCAACAATTCACAAAAAACATAAGCTTAGCTGCACATAGACGGAAAATATTACAAATATTAAGCCTAATACAAGAAGGAGTTGTAGTAAAAAGTGAATTCCCGAATTAGGGTTTGTATGTACGCACATTATAGAGACAAAGATGTAGAGAGAGGGGGAGTGAGAGTTTGTGTAAAATTAATAATACCAGGGAATGTATTTGATGGGGAAACCATCAGGTTCGGAGCGAACTCTGACGAGAGAGTCGGGAACTTTCTTGTTGAGTTCTTTGAGGATATCAAAAAGCGGACGACTTATTCCGGAAGTTGGGACGGCGTCGTCTGGGATGTCGTGTTCTGACCTGGTGAAGGACATTCTCTCATCTGAAGCAGAAGCAGCCTTGGCAGCAGCAAATGAACGGCGAGTGATTCGTGACGCCAACAACTTCAAAACATAACTGTGAGTTTGATCATTAGATGCTGCTGATTTTGCTACACATTTCATCATAGACAACGCCATATTCCCCTCCCTTCCTCTCTCTTCAGCCAACTATTTCACAGTGAAGAAGAAGAAATGTACAAAGCCCCAAAAACTACTCCACTTTTTTAGCCTTTTATTTCATTTATTATTATTATTATTATTGTTGCCCCAAACAAATTTTAAACCTACGATGAGCCCTAAATGATATCACATGGGCTTGAGAACACAAACTCAGCCCACAAATTTAAACCCTAAGAGTCCGTTTGGTTAGATGAAAATTAAAAATGAGAGGAACATGAAGTAAAAGAAAAGAAAATTAAGTTCCCGCATGCATTTGATTAGTAGGAAATTTTTTGAAAAAATAGTATTTAGTTAGTTTGGATAGCATGAAAGGAAAAAAAATAATTTACTTACCAAAACTACCATCATGATTTCAAATACTAAAAAATAAATAACTTTGTTTTAGATTAATTCTCTTTATATCAATTATTTATATTAAATTTTACTAAATAAATAGTAAAATGATGAATTATTAAAAGTAATTATTATTATTTATATTCATATTTAAATTAGAACATATTAAGGAATAGTGGATTTTAGTTACCCGTGTAACGACCCGAACCCATAGGTCCGAATTGCTAATCGGGTCTTAACCTGACCAAAAAAAATCCCAAGGCTAAAATGGTCATTATGCACCTTACTAAGTATTAGGAGTCATAATGAAGTCATACGAGTCATTTCTAAGCACACCGATTCACAAAGAGGTGATAACTCCAACTTTGGGTTCACGGACCCCTAGGGTTTACAAGGGTAAAACGCTCATTTCAAATTAGAATCATGGGATGAGGCTGGCACTAATGGAATTTGGACTAAAAAATGACCCCATTTAGATTTGAAATGAAGAAGTTATGTCTATTACAAAATCGGAGAAATAAATAAATAAATTTACTAAAAATTGGAGAAATGGGGGATTGATCCTCCTGGGTGGGGGATCTATCCACCACCCCCTCCCCTCTAAAATGGAGAGGGAGATCGATCTCACACTAGTGTTTTTTTTTTTTTTTTTTTTTTTTTTGAAAAAAAAACAAGAAAAAAAAAAGGTGGGGTTCGACCTCTTTATCACCTCGTTACCAATGGCCTAAGTCCCATGGTCATCAATTGAAAAAAAAAACAAGAAAAAAAAAAGGTGGGGTTCGACCTCTTTATCACCTCGTTACCAATGGCCTAAGTCCCATGGTCATCAATTGACATCTAAATCATGCAATACCTGTCCCAACTCACGACAATCAAAATATATATCCATTCCACAAACAATTACATCAATATGGACATTTAACATGATTCAAATATATTCATGTTTTTCCTTAATACAAAATGGTTCCTTTTATAATAAACATTCCCAAAATCACTTACACATAACCCAAAGAATAAGGTTATGGTTACAAAACCAAAATATACCAAGCTAATACATGTATAAACCAAGGTTTTACAAAAATGAGAGTTTATATACAAAAGACATCAAAAATGATCTTCTAATCCCACCTAAGCCTGTAGAGAAGCATTGTCCGCCACTTCCTTTCGGTGACCTGAAAAATGGTTATAAAGGGGTGAGCACAACGACTCAGTAAGAAGTGCCAAAAACACACCTCTTTATGACCCCATGATCCAAACAAAGCATAGAATAAGGGAATCGGGATCATACTATTTTAAGGAAAAATATGTCAACAACAAGGTCAACCAAACCATACTATATAATGCAATGCTAATGAGATGCCGATGAGATGCTAATGTCGCTCCCCATTTTCAAAACATTTTCCATTCATCCTTTCCAAACTGTTAATGCAACCCGGCCCATGGCAACTCCAAGGCATCATTTAGGGCCTAGGTAGCTCAACCACGCTAAGGTAGTCTTCTTAGTTCCCTCTAGGTTACATTAATGCCACAAACCCTAGGCAACTCTTTGGCGATCGGGTTTTCGTAAACCTTTCCTTAAAACTTTTCCCCAAAAATGGTTTTTCTTTCTTTTCAAATCAAGTCCCCATTTCTTACCCGATGCCAATGTATGAATGTTTCATGCCTTTCAATGCCATGACAATAACAAATTTCACACAATACATCAACATCATGCTAATATGAAGATTCATGCATTAAACTATAAACATACTTGCATGCTTAAAGGGAAAATTGATATAATAATTATTCATAGAATTCACTTCACAAGCATGCTACTTTAGGCAAGTAATTCATGTAGTAATCTCCATTAAGCATATAATCTCATATAATTTCACTTAAGCATGCAATTCAACACATAATATCACATAAGACATGATTATCATGCTTCAAAAAAACAAACCTTAAAGGCTATAAATCTAATTCAAAATTTATGCATGCCACATTGCAATGTAAAGGTATTAATTCACAAAAGACCAAAGAAGATGAGGTTTAGAGACCCCTCCTCAGTAAAAGAGCAAAAGCCCCAAAATTTAAAAAATCCCAAAGTCGCCAAATCAAAAATCGGCTCTAATAAACTCGCAGCCCTCTTCGAGCTCGTTAACTTTGCCATCAATGGCAACGTCTAAATGTAAATGGAAATTGATGATATTTGAGCTTAAAGTTTAAAGATCTAGTGAGAAGACTTTTTAGATAGACAGAAAAAAAAAAAAAAAAAAAAAAAAAAAAAAAAAAAAAGTCACAGTTTGTATTTCAGCCAAAAAAATGAGGTTTGTAATGACCTTGACCTTGTGGGGCCCAGTTGCCTCAAAAAAATCTATTTGTTATCATTTATATATAGAGAGTAGTGATCTCTTGCTCCCTGTGGAGCAAGAAAATTCTTCCACACTTTCTATAGTAATCATTAGATTAAATCTAATTGTCACATTCCAACCCACCTATATGCTTTCCTTTTATTACAAAACCACTATCACTATTTCTAGTTTCTATATTTAATATTTACCAAAACCACTATATGACGGCCCTGGTTTTTAGGTCAGCGCGTCCTATGATGACCGAATGTAGATCCGATATCGAATCCAGAATGCGGAAGTAAGAAACAAGATAACGATCTCCCAAAACACAACGCACCTCTAATACACTTTGATGACCTTCCATGAGGTCGTGAAACTCAATGAGAGCTGACGCGGAAGTAAAAGATCAAAAATATGACAAATAAACCCCCAGGGGCAAAATAGTCATTTTACATGGAAATGACGTCCCTAGAATATATATTATTTCCGAGACACATCCATGACTTCCCGTGAAGTCAAGGAACTCCAAAGAAAGTAGCGGAAGCGAATTACAAGAAAACCGGACAAAAATAGCCCCAAGGGCAAAATGGTTATTTCTAAAAAATATAAAATCGGGTGCTACCGAGCACACCACTGGGAAGACAGCGAAAAATTAATCAAGTTATACTCAAGAATCACTTGATTCGGAATCTGGATGGAAGAGAAAAGTCAAAATAAAGTTTTGACGTCGCCGCGGCCGTGAATAGTAACCTGGGCAAAATGCTGAAATCCGTGTACCGTTTTGAGGCACTAAACGACGTTTTCTGGAAAAACAAGAAGAAGAAACCCCCCTCAAAATAATTTTTCCAAGCTGACCATATTGAAAGAAAATTTTATTTTTGACGTGAAATCTCCAAAATTCCTTACAACAGACTTTTTCAAATAGTGCAGATGCGCACAGGAAATCAGATTTGACGTGGGGTTTTCGGGTCCGAGATGACATTTTTTGGAAAAACATGAAGAAGAAACCCCCCGTAAAATTGATTTTTCTACCCAACTACCTAAAAGGAAACAAAAAAACACACTGAAAAATTTCCAAAATACCCCTAGATCAGAACTGGACAAGAGGGCAAAAGTTGCTACAGTAACTGTCCTGATCTGAGAGCAGAAACGGGTTATCAAACGAATTTTTCTGGAAAAATACGAAAAAGAAACCCCTCCCGAAATCAAATTTTCTACCTGATATCGCAAAGAAAATAAAAAAATCTCACTATAAAATGCCCCTCCATGAAATCAGGTCATGGGGGTTAAAAAGCTGCAAAAATACAAATTGAAAGCTGAACTTTGCGAGGGATTTCCGGTACCAAGATGACATTTTCTGGAAAAACACGAAGAAGAAACCCCCCCTCCCAAAATCACGTTTTCTAAGTGACATGTGAAGACCGGAATTCATTTCTCGAAGGAAAACCCCAAAATGCCCTAAAATCAGATTATGCAAAAAATGTCAAAAGTAAAATTCATAGGAGGCTCAAATCACCAAGGATGAGGTTTTTCTTGAAAATAATCATGCACATAAACGTAACTTACCCATTAGGACATGCTACAATGGTCCATGGCTTAAAAATATTACCGATGCAAAATTTGACCCCCCTATGGCCAAAAAGGCAAAAATGAACTAGAAATGGAGAATTTGAAAACTAAAATTAACAAATGATTTCAAATTACCATTTGGCCCTTGGCCACACTTCATGCATATTAAGTAGGTCCTAATGAATGTGCTCGTGCACACTTTGCATCACCTAATTTGGAAATGAATCCTTAAAGGCTCGAATTTTATTATTTTAGCTCAAAATGCAAAGTATGAAACTAAAATGCAAAAATGAAAATAAAATGGTGATTGGGCTTTGGCCATACCTCATACATATTGAATGAATGCTAAATAATGAATTTCATACCTGATGCACACTTCGGTGCAATAATGTCATGCTAAAACCCTAATTTCTTATATATTCTCATTAAAGGCAAGATTTCAACATTTATGAATATACATGAACTTTAAATATGGTTTGGCCCTTGGCCTCATATCATATACATAAAATGAGGAGCAAAAAGTATGCTTAGGCACACATTATAAGTTTAGAATCAAATACACACATTTAACAAATAAGGCTACATATGGCTTTTTAAGCCAACCTTCACAAAATGGAACCTTCAAGTCCACAAATCGTCCAAGCATAACGAGAATGTTGATTCCTGTACCTGAAAAATGTCCCCACTACGTGGATGAGTAACATAAAGTTACTCGTAGAAAATGAGCATGCATCGACCTAACGTTTTACAAAATTATTACATTAACTTAAAATAATTCAAAAGGGTCATCCCACCTAACGTC